CCTAAGGCAGCTAGTGCAGTGACAGATTCACTGGGTTTTACGTTAAGTGAATATAAGTGGAGAAATATTCAAAGAATGTAAACGGAAATCAGATGAGCGCGGCGGGCGGTCCAAGTCAATTAATATCAGAGCAAAGATAGGAAGCGACGATGACATATTTAAGTGATATAGACAATATTAAAAAATGACACGTGGACGAGACACTTCTACCAAACCATATCTCCATCAGCGTGGAGCAAATACTAAAATATCAAAGTGTTTTTAGTAACGACAATGTCACAGTGGTACAGCAACATGTGTTACATATTGTACGACAATATTTAATGTTGCTTTATTAGGTCCCGGTGTCTTTCGAAATTTCAAAGCAGATGTGAGAGGCACTGACGGACTAATTGGAGACAAATTTTATATTATCATTAGGCATGTTCCAGTTACGTAGATGTTTTAAGTTCTCTGTGTTTAACAAGCGGAATATTTTTCAAACACTTTTATATTAGTTTTAACAACGCGACTTCATGACAAATTGTTATTGTTGCTTTAGTAGTTAAAAGCGCGGGGAAAATCAGTAAGTTTCGAACGTTAGGAAATATGACAAGATGAGTGTTCGTTCAATTAGGTAATCTATTGTAGCCATTACGTCTTATTAGAAATACATATTTGAGTTTTTCATACAAACAAATAAAGAATACATCTTTATTTGTACCATAACATTCAGAAACAAGACACAGCGTCAAAAATTTATTACATTTTGACTTACGCGCGTCATAGATCGCACTTACTGCCAAGTATCGTTTCAAAATCTTACCCACAAAGTACGCTATTTGTTACCATGGTTACCATTATTAAAAAGAATTAACCACAACCATGTTTTGAAGTACACGATGTAGCCTACCTTAACACTAATAAGTAATTTTAAGTGTAACCTAATTACTAATATGGATGAACCCTATGCCTACGGATGTTATTTCGGTAATACCGGTATATAACCTTCTATACATCACAAAATAATTTTTCAATTCAAACCATGAGTTCCTGAGTACAATCGTACCAACGAATATTAGTATTTGTTTATTTACAAAAGCTTGGCAACGCTCGGCACACTGATACATTGGTACTTAAGAAAAATAAAATACAACATTTAATGTGACAAGCACTTATAGGCAAACATAACAAACTCGAAGAGAAAAAAAAATACATCGATTCATAAATAACAAAAACTAAAGGAAAATTTATTTAAAACTGTGAGTGATATTAGTAATTACTCATTAGCTTATATTTATTTAGTAACACTTCGTTGCATTACAATATAAAAATTGAACATAATTAAATGAAAAGGAGGGTTATATTGTAAACTTTCAAAATCATGGAATGTACATAATCAATATGTATATAATCAATATTATAAATATATATACTGGCAGAGATCTTTCGTAGTCCTAATTAAGCTCACTTAACTATTCAGGTAAACTCAACAGGATGGCAATAAAATACAAAATCCAATTGCGTCTCTTGATTTACAAGGAATCAATAAATGTGAAGGCTATCTTCAGATTTTATTGCGTATACAATAAAAGTAATGTACTGTAGACCTCATATAAACCTTAATCAACATAATGGTTCACAAACGATCAATTAAATTTAATCTAATTAATCATTTATTTCTATGCCTGATTTTTTATTAAGACTTCAGCTAGTTGAACTAAATCTCATTTTATAAGCTGTGCATATTTGCGTAACTACGTCACGATATGAGAATAATATTAAAAGGGCTATGGAGCGTTCTATTCGTCGGTTGAAAATTTAAGACAAAGTAAAAAACAGTGTAATACATAATACAACATAACAAACGTCGTAACACACTCAAAAAAGTTAAGACCAGGGTTTTCCCGCTGGTCAGAAATGGCCATAAGAGAGGGAGAAAACAGAGGACCACACACACCAGAAACCTGGGAGATGAAATTAAAGACATAGCGGGAAAAGATCGCAAAATAGTAGCGAAGATGAGAGACAAATGGAAGAATTTGGACGAGGCGGTAACCTCGTCGGAGGTTGTGTACTAATATTAAATAAAATTTTATGAATGGGGTATATTTATTATATTTATATAACAGGAGCGCAGGAGGCGCACCTGATCGTAAGTGATACCGCCGCCCATTGCCACTCTTAATGCCAGAGAGCTCGCGAGTGCGTATTGTAAGAATAGCGCTGAGTTGCGCTCCCCAAAAGATGAAGACCAGCCTGTGCGTCCATCACCGAATGTTGAATATTCCGATGGTGGACGCCAAGAGGGGGATATATATCTTAGATTTCGTAGCTGAATTTTATAGATCTTCTTTAACAATTATTTCACCATTAAACGCTGAGTATATAAATTATATATACTTAATACTTATACTAATATTATAAAGAGGAAAGGTTTGATTTTTTGTTTGTTTGAAATGAATAGGCTCCGAAACTACTGGACCGATTTCAAAAATTCTTTATTCTTTCACCGTTGGCAAGCTACACTATTCCCGAGTCACATAGGCTATGTTTCATTTTCAAAAATATTAGGGATGCTTACTAAAACTTGAATAATCTAACCCAAGGTGTAAAAAAATAAACAAAAAACTTCCTTCAATCGCGTGCGCTGCGAAAACTATTAATGACAGAACAAAATGATGTATTTCAATTTTTCAGGACACATCACTATCTATAAAAAATGTCGCGACAGCATGACTCTATCTTTTATAGTTACGCCACAATAAGCGTCCTTTTAATATTTTTTTTTATTAAAATACCACCGCTAGAAAAGGCTCTTTATTCGTACCTAGGTATTGATCCTTATCAAAATAAATACCAACGTTTTACATAAGCAACAATTTAATGGCATAACCACCAAAAAAGCAAGGTGGATTGGTCTTCTCCTGCCGTTTCTCTTGAATAGTTTACTACTCTGTAATATAACAAAAATCTTAGCCACAGCAACGCTTGGCCGAGTCTACTAGTACTTAATATTACAGAAAATTTCAGCCATGCCGCCGCTCCGCGTGACAGGAGAGTATGACATTCATAAAAATTAATGTACCATTAGGGATATGGATTACGCTCCGTTTTAAATACCTAAGTAAACAATTTGGCTGACAGACGTGATTGACTTTAACGACCAAATGTTGTTAGTAAGAATGCGAAATAAGTCAGACACATTTTCATGAGTGTACAGATATTTTTGTGTTAAACTGTATTAACCGAAACAGTACGGTTTCGGAGAGATCATGTGTATCCAACTATAAAGCCAGAGCAAGTTAATAAATAAATAAAGTTACAGGCACACATTGGGGCCGTACAAGTATTACGTAAGCACTATAGAGGGAGGGGAGGCCTTTGATTTTCATATTTGGTGATTACGTCAACAGTAATTATTTACTTTTTTACACATATTACCAACACATTGTCTAGGCTTTAAAACGTAATGCATTTTCGATACGTTTATGTACTATTATTTTTGAGAGATTTGCTTACTTTTGCTGACAAGAGGAGGGGGGGGAGATAAATTGCAGTAATACTTAACGGCCTCATACAATTTAATTTACGTATAGATTTATGGAGATAATCTATGATTTTACAATACATTTATATTATGAAAATTTATTACTAAAATAAGAAGCTTAATAAAATAAAAACATGTTGATGAGTAAATGTATCTAGTAGTAACTTTTTACTTGCGTCCATAAGTGTACTTTAAGTGGCTATATGAAAAAATAATTTGATTAAAACGCCCTAATTATGTACAAATCATTATTAATTTATTAAATCTACTGAAATATATTTATTTTATTGGAAAACTTCGTAAATTTCGTTAAAAAATTACAGAACAATACAAAGCTTTTTAAAACCGGATATAAACTTCCGTTACGAAAAGTTAGTGTAGTAACAAATTAGTTAAACAATAGGCTCTTGACGAAAAGAAAGAGCAAAGGTTGTTTTCATACATAATAAATCAGTGATAGAAAAAAAACAATGGCGCTACAACCTTTTAGGTCTGGGTCCCTGTATATGTTTCGCGACCATTTACTGGTCTTAATAGGCAAGTAGGTGATCTGTTCCGCACACGCCATCCATTTATGAAGATTTAAGTGTAATAGAGAGAAAAATCCTTTATTGGTTGCCATGGTTCAAACGGTCTAAGGGTTAAGTTCTACTAGGCCAATTAGATTTGAGTTTAGATAAAACAGTAAAATATATTATGAATTGGTTGTAAGAAAATCGATAAATTGCATCAAATCGACAACAATATATCAAGTGCACTTAATAAACAATGGTAAAAAAAGCTCGTAAAATCGTAGATATGTCCAGATAGGGTACGGCGGGGGGCGCTCCACTCGGCGCCGGATCACGAGCCAATTAGAAACACACCTTTTCGACATGTGTTTGTCCGAACTAAATTTAAGGGTACGGGAACGTTACAGCATCCGTTATCGCTTATCGCCTTTGCCAATACTTCACGGAAATAGAAAAAAAATTACAACTTTAAAGTTCGACCGGTATAGCGTCTATATGCGTTTTATGCCTGAAATGACAGTCTTTCAAGACAGAATTCCAAAATATAAAATAAGAATCATTGAATATTTAAACCAGGAACTCCATAGTCATAAACATCTAAACGAGTTACAATAAAAAAAAATATCAGTGGCGCTACAACCTCTTTAGATCTTGGCCTCAGATTTTTTATTCTGTTTCATGATCATTTTTAAATCTAATAGGCAAGTAGGTGAACAGTCTACAGTGCCTGACACACGCTGTCGACTTTTTGGTTCTAAGACATGTAGGTTTTCTCACGATGTTTTCCTTCACCGTTAGAGCAAATGTTGAATGCGCACATAGAAAGAAAGTCGGGGACACAGCCGGGGATCGAACCTACGACCTCAGGTATGAGAGTCGCACGCTGAAGCCATTAGGCCAACACTGTTAAAATCAAAAAGGCATTTCTTCAGGCTATAGGCACTGTAAAAACTCTTAGACTACTGTATAAAGACGTAAATACACACCTTGGTTTTAACAAGTTTAGAATTTTCCTTGCACATCTTCGCCAGGACGTGGTAGTCTCCTCGGGCCGCGTATAATATCCACTGCTTCTGTTTTGTGTCCAGCGGTTCAGCTTCCTTGTGATCCAGCTATGAAAATGAACATTTATAATAATTCAACTGTTTAGTAAACTTAAAACGTTTTAATGTAACAAAAATAAAAACCATTTATAAATTATGGAATGCCATATTTTACTACTCATGAATAATTAGAGATTCATTAAAGCATGCAGTGTTACCCTGAATGGACATCAATTTACGACCTAATGATTTTTGCTCTAAGATAATCGTAATTCCAATATCCCCAGCTTCTATGTAGTTTTTCAATACCCGCTGATGTAGCATACTTGGAATCACGTGGCACAAAAACTCAATATTGAAATTGGATCAGTTTAATTACTGGGTAAGCTGAGAGCAGGTCAAATTATTATGCTGCCATTAATAATTAGAGCTTCATTAAAATCTGACAAATAATGTAATGTTACAAAACCTGCATCGTTACCCTGTAAATCGACACTGATCTCCAATGACTCAAAGTCAAAAATCATTTAATCATATAGGTAACACAATGTACACTAATGAACGTCAAAACATAAAACTATATGAAATGCTTCTAAGTGCCAGTTCTCAAATCAAGGGCGTAGAACGGAAGAGAAGAACTGGCAATAAACTCTCCGCCACTCTTTTTAATCGCCACGTTTTTTTTTACACAACGTTTGTAAGGAGCTGCAACCATTACACCATGTTCCACATGACATCGTAAGTAATAAATAATAATAACATAAATTAAAAAAACAAAGACTTGAGGACAAGTCCTCTATAAATAATTCTAACGTTATATATCAATGACTCTCAATTTCGTTATAGTTTATTCTAAAAACCCCAGAGATTTTCAATTGATATCAATTGCGGCATACGGTTATTAAAAAACAAATATTTTCTCTTTATCGGCTAGTTACCTAATATTTTTTTCGCGAGAAACAACCCAACTACCACGATAATTATCTTATTAGGTACAACACAACAACAAGGTAACATTTACCCCACAGTATTCAAAATATCATATTCAGAATCTTATTTATTTGAATATCTAATAATTCTGATGTGTGTGTGAATTAATTATATAATAAATCTATCTAATTTATCATATTTTATAGGCCACTGATTAAGCTTTTGGACCTGACATCGATTTTTAGGTCTTACAAAAGCCGGTGCCTTACGATGTTTTCCTTCGCTTTCAAAAGTGCTATCTACTTGCGAATACACAATACTCTATTGGTGTACAGCCGAGATCGAACTCATAGCCTCAGAGTTAAAAATACCTTTCAATCACACACTCGAGAAATGTGTTCAGATAAAACATTTACAGCTCATGACTATGAAAAAAGGAATGTTATATTCCTGATTTTCGAGATTTAACATAGGCTTTTCATATCCAAGAATGTTAATTCACAGTCAAGACTAACATATAACTCACATATGTACTTGTTGACATACGGAAATCATAACTTTTCGACTATTACACTTAAGGTTAATAAACCGCTCAACCCGAAACTCTGAATAATATATAGACTTACCGAAGCTCTATCTTCCTCATCCAAACTCTGAAACAAAGAAAAATTTATTTAATCACATTATAATAATAAAATAGTAACTTTTTATCATAGCCATAATGGCGCTACATTATTTAGTTATACTATTTGTGTGTTCCTTTACCACATTTTTATAGGTAATATTGTCATTCTTCACTGTGCTACGTAAGGTATTATGTAAGGTGGAAAGATTATGGTATTGCAAATATTGCGCTTGTATAGATCAACCAACTGGTTGCCAGAGGAGTCAGTACCTAGGATAGACTCGACCTGCCCATAGCGAGCTTTTACCCAGTAATTAAACTGACTCCGATTTCAATATTGGGTTTTTGTGCCACGTGTGACGTGATTCCAAGTTTGCTATATAAGCGGATATTGATAAACTATATTGAAGCTGGGAATTGGAATTAAGATTATCTTAGAGCAAAAGGCATTGGGTCGTAAATCGATGTTCATTTACAGGGTAACACTGCATGCTTTAATGAATCTCTAATTATTCATGAGTAGTAAAACATTGACGGAATGGTACCCAGAAACGGAAAACGAAGAAGAGGCCGACAATGCAAAAGATGGGAGGACGAACTGAAACTAACAGCAGGCTACAACTGGAAAAGAGTCCGCGAAGAATAGTGAACAGTAGATAGGGTTAGAGGAGGACTTTGCAAAGAGGCACACCGAACTCCGAGTTATACTAGAGTGAAAATATATTAAAGATCACAGATCACAAAGTTTCGGAATATAATAGCTATATTATTATTATTATAAAATATGGTATGTCATAATCTATGAATGGTTTTCATTTCTGTAACATTAAAACATTTTAGGTCAATTAAAGTAAGCAGTAGAAATGATCTCAACGATAAATACACCTGACCCACTGCACTCGAACCATTACTTATAGAGATCGAAACATGTTAAGAAGTTAAAGAAAATATCGTTCATGAATTATTAAAGCACTTGTGCATTTGTGCACGGCGCAGCACACGTCCGAAAAAAATTAATATTATAAATAAAGACGATATTTACATACATAATAAATATCTTAAAGACACATATAAATTAATCGGAACCTAATATTTCAAAATTAATAAATGAGTACTTATATTGTGAAAATAATATTTTGAATTAATGGTCAATAAATTCGAATTCCCCCGTCTTCAGGCTTGCGATGCGATTGACTGCGCGATGTGAACGTCTTAAACGTTTTACAATATTGAATCGATAATGAGTCGTAATGCCTATAAGGTAAGATATAATTTTGGATGGAATTTTAAATGAGATACGTGATCTTGGATCATTGTGGTGGACGTGCGTTGCCCAGCATGACCACTATACCACCTGTCGTTACATATTTATGTCTACACTATTTGCCCCACTGTTAGGGACTTCGATATTGACAAGATAACATCCTTAATGTGATGTGTTTGATTTAATAATAAGATTAAGTTTATACGTTCTCAGTTTTTAAGTACTTAACCAAAGACAATTAACTATTAATTTTTGAATGATGAATCACCATTGTCGTTTATCAAATCATTCATAAATCAATCGATAACTTACAAACTTACGTTCCAATTCATACACGTATAATCTTAAATATTTAAGAATTATTTCTTATACATTTCCAAATTTAGAAAAAAATAATAAAATATTGTTTCCGATAGTAGCAATATATTTTTAGTAACAATTGAGTAATTCAATTTGAAAAAAACTCGAATTCATTCGCAAAGGAAAAGTTGCATATTATTATGCGTTATAGTGACTTTTATCAATGAATTACTTCTTTGAGAATTTTATGACCTAGCAGCAATGAGACCTATACCTATACTAAGACTTATTTTCATATAAATTAGTGATTATTTATCCGTTGTTACTTGACTTTAATGACAAGTAATGGTTTTGTTTGAATTAAATACATAAATTCTATTCCTCCACCTCAAAGACTTCGCGGACCAAATTAAAGTGAATTTGTATATACTACTAGGCGTTTAGTTACTGTAATACTATTTCTATTTACTTGACTATAAAAATCATGTATTGCCTGTGTTAGCGTACCCTAAGTTCAACATATAGTTTTAGAGAGAACAAAACGACCAACAAATCCGAACAAATTTCGTGTCGTGTATAAACAATTTATTTACTGGTACTGATTAATATCGAAGATGTATACAGCTAATTTACATTAAAGTCTCGAAGGGTCTAAGCTAAGACAGGACGTCTAAGAAAACGTCTGCAATAAAATGGAAACAAGGCTAATTTGTTGAACCTACGTAGCAATAAAGCTTTAGCCTCTTGTTCGCAAGTAAGTAATCTATGTGGTAATGAATAAGATTAACATGTAGTGCAACGTTTGATCACGATTTATTGAGTAGCAAGTTATTACTATATTTAGCTAAGCTCTAGTGTTTAAAAGCCTTTATTAGAATCACATTGTATTCGGTTTTCGTATGAGATAACTTCAGAGCCTACTAAGAGAGAATGTGTTGACTTTTGTACTGAAATGCGCTTTAGTTTACAGATGAGTTTCGTTCTTACATTTAAAATATCAGTGTTCTATTTGGGTATAGTAGAAAAAAATTATAACAATTAGAAAAAAATCGTCACTAGAACGTTTCGATTTTTACCCACATTAAACTCCGATAACCATCTTAACTTTATTATTAAGACTTGCAAGTCCTTTGTTTCACCATTCAGACGACAAAGTGACGTCTTAAAATTTACGAGAGGATCACAAATGTTATGAAAGGAGCCCCAAGACGCCAATGCGTCGCCCCGGGACGCCAGCGCCGGACGCGTCAGGGTGAGCCACAACGAAGCTTACATTATGGTGGCGACGGCACGGCATTTCGATCGATACACATCAAACATCTAATACGTTGATATAACTTCATACTAAATGAAAAATTGGCACTACTGCGCTAGCTTATCCAGTTAAGTCCAGTAAAAACTATAGGAATATTTTTAATTCTATATAAACACTAGCTAACCCGGCAAACGTTGTTTTGCCATGTATATTATTTCTAGGAAAAAAAATTTTAGTTCAATTAAAATAACTATCTACTATACTAAAAATAGGGGTTGATCGTAGAGGGGTGAACATTTTGGGTTGTATGTATTTTTTAATGCCATATAATAAAAAAATAAAAAATATCCAAAAAATAAAAATGAAGGTTTTGGGATGGACACCCCTTATCACTTAGGGGTTTGAAATATAGATAGTAGCGGATTCTCAGACTTAGCATAAAAAATTTCATAAGAATCGGTCGAGCCGTTTCGGAGGAGTATGGGAACGAACATTGTGACACGAGAAAAAAATTCCTCGTATGATTAATACTTTAATGTTATGTCAGTTAAAGCGACAAACATCCAATCAAAAGTTTGGTTGGTAAAAGAACTTATTACCTGTATGTATATGTATAAAGGCGGAAACATACTACCAAAACGCGACGCTACACCACGCCATCCGACGCATGTCAGTACTTATCAATCCCATATATTTAATATGGTCAGATGCACATAGACAACACGCCATGTGATCACACGCGGTAACATCCAATCGATTTGGATCGGCGTGTTGTCGTGTTGTTGACGCCAAGCGTCAAACGTTCGAGTTTTTGGCACAAATGTCAATTGTCAGCTAAATGACTTCTGAACTTGCAAGTGTGTCGTGGTGTCGCGTGTTGGTAATGTGCACGATGGACATCGGGTGTCGACACGTTGCGTCGCGTGGCGTTTTAATAGTATGTTTCCACCTTAAAGCTGTTTCGACGTGTTTTATCTGTGCATTTACATTTTTATAATAGAGCCTACTTCTGCTAACGATTCTCTTCTTATCTTTCATCTCTTTTAAAATACACGTATAACCTTCCGTAAACAAGTAACATTTATACCTACAATTTTCAACACGCGACGCTTAGGAAAATTGACTTCAGTATTATTATAGAACAACAAGTAAATTTTCAGTTATCAGTACGAACGATGAGTCAAGACCTATTATTAAAAACAAGATAAGAAAATATTAACATAAATACAAGCGATCAACACAATTGCAAACAACATTTTGTATCTGATTATGCACGAATCATAATAGACAAGAGGATTAGATGGAGCTTTTGGTACACGATAAGATTTTATCAGACTCAGAACGGTATTACTTAATTTGACTATTGATTTTCAATTGGCCCTCTATCTTGTATATGCAAATCGTTTCTATTAAACACTTTTTCTGCAGACTTCCTCGGGGTTTCGATTGTTCATTTCTACAGAGCGTATAATCGCGTCTCAGTTTTTTATCTTTCAATAAGTGGCAGCTAATTCCTTTTATATTCCATAACAGCATCGACAAGGCTCGTTGCTTGTGGCATCCGCGTTGCTGATGGCTACAAGTGATTCTCAGGCCCTAACAGCAGCGAGAGAACAATGAAATCGGTCATATTTTCCTGCCAGATCGCAACGGAGCGTGATCGCTTATCGTTCACATCGTGCATAACGATTTCAGTGTGTTTGTTCAAAACAATCACGTCCTAAAATTTTGTTCTAACGAACTCCACTCATTTCTATCATCAAAAGTGTTAAATAATTTGATTGGATATTGATGTCAAATGATAATACAATTTACCTATTCGATGGCGTCATAATCACCGCAATTCTCAATTTAAATACGAGAGAAGCGGGTGTAATAAAATGTTTACAAGTCTACTAAGCTACTAAAAAGGGATTGAATTTCGCGTTTAGGACATACTTAGCAGTAAGCAGAAGCTTTAAACTCACGACATTAAACTAGCCTCTCAGAATCCACATTAACTCGACATTAACAATTCGAATGCCATAAACGTAAAACTAAGCAGCTCGTGGGTGAATCAATGAAAATTAGATCGAATAACTATAGTCACGAGGACGATATAAAGATAATCAAAAGTACTGACAACAATATGCACGAATGACCTTTTTAAAGACTGTTTTAATACCGCACGTGCGCTCTGGAGTCACACTATGGTAATTGTCGAGGGACA